GCCAAAATAAAGAGGCAAAAAGGGATACCATGGCCAGTTAGAAACATAATGTTTTAGAGAAATTGATATATAATCAGGATTTACATGTATAACATTACTGTACTCAGATATATTTAAAATAGTGCAACAGCTCACATTTACTAATAAACTTCAACTATCAACAGCTGCATACTGTTTGAGATTTAGCCCATCATATAATTCAGGGCTGTAAGATCTTCTAGTTGAAAATATGCTGTGGTATCTAGTGGTCACAGACAATTAGCTCAATTAGAATTTTGTTTTAAGCAGCACTTATTTTTCTATACTATTTAAAAATGTAAAGCATATATCAACTCAGAGCACCATCTGTTGAAGGAAACCTCACTTTATAGCTGAGCTGATTTGAATTTAACGTTGTACAATTTGTCAGCAACTCAACCAAACTGAAATTGAATCCATATCTGGTTCCTGGTCCTTTGCTTCAAAACTAGACCACAGAATCAATCATGTAAATTGTTTAAAAGACATCCAGAATACCTTATGAAACTAGTCTTTTAAAAAGTTTTATGTACTTATGCCAAAATTTATACAGTGGTAAATACTCTCTGCACCTACCAGAATTAGTAAATAAAAAATTATTCATGAACTCACCCTCTTGCACATAGATCAAGAGGGAAAAAAATAAAAGAGGGTCCTGCCCACCTGCTGCTGTTCACTTTAGAGATCATTATGCATTCAACAGTTGCAGTCCATACTAAGATGGTGCAATTTCTCAATCCCTACTCAGATTGTGTCTCTCACTAAATAGAAATTGATCCAATAAAAGATATTACCTCACCTACCTTCTCACCAATACACCGTTTAGTAATAGTCACAGATTTACATTAGTATGAAGCATGTATTTCCATTCCTAATATTCCATAAGATATTTGGCTTCAAATGCATCTCTGGCTCCTCTTAACTTACCATGCTTTGGGGATTTTTCCAGCTCTAAATATGTAAATTCAAGACCACTGTAATTATAGCTCTATGATTTGAAACAAACATAAGGCATTGCAATTAAATTTGCTTAAGACAGCTTAGAAAAGCTGAAAGTTTGGAAGCTAAGTTTTGCGATTTCATAAAAAAAGAAAATGAGCATGTTACATTTGGATGAAAAAGCATTATATATGAAATAATATAAACCTGAAAGAGATTACGTTACTGTCACTTTATGTAGCAGTAGGAACTAAACACACGATGAGGAATGCCTATCTTCTAACAGCGATGATAAGCTATGTTTCACTGATGCATAGATGGTGTGCTGTGTGAAGCAATATTAGGATAACTGTTGAGAGAGAGTCTGAAAAAGGTTTATTTGCAACATGACAAGCATCAATATGTAGCAAGATTTTGGGAGGGAGAAACAGGGGGACAAAATAACGCTAAGGATTTTGTGCCATAATCACCACAATAATCTGGTTTGACTATAACAGAAATAATATGTTCTTCATGAAGAAAATGATTTTAAAAAACTATAATACTGAAGACAGTGAAGCAGCATTGCAGGACTATCTGGTGGGTAACTGCAAGGAGCTGTCTCAAGCTATTATGAAGCAGATAAATAGCATTTCAAAGGGATCTCAATGTAGAATAAAGATAATATGGATACATAGATTAATAAGAATGATTGGGAAAAAATCCTTTTTCCGGATATGCTGGTTTACTTAGTTCATGGTAACTAGGTTGACTATGGAGGTTTGGCACATTTGAGTCCTCCCTCCTCATTAAAACATCTTCTGTTGTGTGTCATGGAATATTTGTGATGGGGGTGCAGCATTATTGTGGGTTGCATGCTTCCTCAGGAGAGACTCAATCTCTGAGGAAGAATACGACCTTCTCTTCGTTTTTACTGTTTTCCCGGTCCTTTGGGCTCGATCCAGTGTGAGCTGCTCTCTCCGGCTCCGTCCAGGTGATTTCTGCCCTGGAGGGGTAGATTGCTCAAGGTCAGAAGCCAACCAAGCCTTTTTCTCCATCTACAGCATTTTCAGTTGTAGTTCTCTTGATCTCCTGCATTGGGTGGCTAGTTTCTGACAACACGGGCAATGTTCTGTGGTGTGCTGTTTCCCACGATAGCAAACACACTTTGTGTGCCTGTCAGAAATTGAAATAAATCGCCTGAGGCCTGTACCCCTTTTAAATCGGGGCGAGCCCGGCATATCCTAGAGAGCCGGCAATAAGCGCGGGATTATTACGTCCCTTTATGAGCTTGCCAAACAAGGGTCTTCTTTTTTTTTTTTAATTTGTGCATAACGACTAAGGGGAAAGTCAACAAGAATAAGGTAGGAAGGGTTTCTGAGGTAAACTATGTATAGGTAAATAAGTAATGGATGAGGTAAAGGGAGACTGCTCATCTGTGACCACAGCCAGCGGTGGCTGAGAAGGATCTGGGAGGGCGGCCGCGCATGCACAATAGGCTCCTCAGAACACCCACTCCTCATGCATACAGTTGTCACAAATCTCCCATCGCGGGCTCAGCGGTGCTGAAGCACGTAAGGTGGAACACCCATGGGGACACTCCTGAAAGAAGAACTACCCATGACTAGCTGACACAATGAGGAACATGATTTGCCTTCTTCTACAGCAGCCAGTTGCTTGTGGTCAACATTGTGTCAGCTAACTCGATTGTTAAAAGTTTTGTTAAAACAATTACATTTCTTTGTGCCGATGAAGGGAATAGTCTCAGTGCTCGGTACTGTCAGAGCAATTCACTGCATTCCATCTTGCTTGGTCCAATATAAATCAGATCAATGTTTTTACCTACATCAGATCTTTATATAAAGCTTACCAAGGATTATTGTTTATTTACCAAAAAAAAAAATCTTTTGTCAAATTGTGCTGATTTTATAATACAGTAAAACTCCAATTGTCTGACATCCAGTGGTCCGGCACTCCCGATAGTCCGGCACCAACTGAAACCCGGAAGTATTCCAGGCAGCCGGACAATTGAAGCTACTCCGCACCACTTCCCCAAGTCCGCTGCTGCCATTGCTGAAACTGACCAGCCGCAGACTTGGGGAAGCGGCAAGGAGCAGAGCAGCTGGGGTGCTGCCCGGTTGGTCCTTTCAGCGCCGCTCCTCACCTGAGCGGTGCTGCGGGACCAACCCGGCAGCACCCCTGCTATTCTGCCCCGCCGCTTCCCCAAGTTGCCGCTGCCGCTTGCAGCCCCAGCTGGCCTGTCGCCGGCGGCTGCACGGGGCTTCCCCCACCTCCCTGTAAAACGGCAGAGGGTTCACCCCACGCCGCGCCATTCCCCGCCAACCCTTCCCCCCCATCACAGGCCCCCAGTTAGAGTACCTCTTGATACTCCGGCATATCCAATAATCTGGCACCCCCTGGGTCCTAAAGGTGCCGGATTATCGGAAGTCTACTGTATAGTACACAATGTACTGTTTTACTATTTTTATTCTTATATGGCCTTCTAAAATGAAATTTAAAAGACAAGAGAAAACTATGCACATTTATATAAAACACATGAACACTTAAGAAAGTACTGAGACACCCTAAGACGCCAATATATTCACTACTGTCATATAATTCAAGTATGTTTTGTACAAAATATGCCTAGCCAAATGTCCATTTATCATGGCTGTGGCCAAGTTTCCTGCAGTCCCATGAAGTTTATTTACAGCTGGCTCTCCATGTTCTGTGCTGTTATTTAGCTCTAATTTGCCCCTAAGTGTCTTCTGAGAGCCCACTAAGTGTTGGTAATGCTGCTAGACAATACTGACCTCTCATGGTTTGCCAAATTCTCTGATTCGGCTCCAGTCAGATCCTGAGGGTGCCAGACTAGAGAGATTCAATCTGTAAGTCTTGACCTTCTAGACATTAATATCTCATTGGATTATGTGTGTTATTGGAATGCATATAAACATAAGGACGAGGAGTCCCGTGGCACCTTATAGACTAACAGATTTATTGGAGCATAAGCTGACCTGACAAAGGTCTTTGCCCACGAAAGCTTATGCTCCAATAAATCTGTTAGTTTATAAGGTGCCATGGGGCTCCTCATGGCTTTTGCAGATTCAGACTAACACGGCTACCCCTCTGATACATAAACATATGGGTTAGCCCAGGAAAGGTGTATAGTGGAAACCTCTCAGATACACAATGGAAGCCATTTGACCCAGGTCAAAGCACAAGAGCTTTCCAGCAAGCATGAAGAAGATATAAAAAGGAACAATGACATCATGGGGGACCTCACTTTCCCTGTAAAAACTGACCTAGAAATACCTGAGGAACAAGGACTGAACTATGGAAAGTGATGATCCCAGCCTGGAAAGATTTTTAGTCTATGTATAAAAACCTGGGAAAAACAAGGAAACTTATGCCTTAAGCATCTGTCAGACTGTTCATCACTCAGCGTGACAATCTGCTAATGTATACCCTCTCTAGCCAGTGTGCTTAACTCAGTTTGTGGAGTTTGTTTATTTTCTAAGGTAATCTGTTTTGATCTGTTTGCTTTCTCTTATAATCGCTTAAAATTTATCTTCTGTAGTTAAAATTATTTCTTGTTTATTTCAAAACCCAGTTTGTGCAATTCACATGGGAGGAGAGGTATGCATCTCTCTCTTCACATTGAGTGAGAGGGCAAATTCTTGTAAGCTTGTGCTGCGCAACTCTTTCTATATAGCACAAGACAATGTCACACTGCAGATAGCATGTGCACCAGAATGCTGGGTAAACCCCCAAGTTGAACCCACTCACACAAAATTGACTGCAGTCTGTGTCTGCAGCTGGTGTGGTCTTCCCTGGGCATATGCTTCATGCGGAGAGGGACCTGAGGGTCTGGCACAACAACCCATGAAAGGGAAACCCAGGCCAGTAGGGCTAGCAGGCTCAGTGGAATCCCAGAAAGTAGGATCCAACCTATCACAAGGACACAAAAAGGTTTTTTGCCCCCCTCCTTTTTTTTTTTTTTTTTAAAAAGAAAAAACCTATACTGGCATACTGTAGGCAAAAGAAAAGGAGGCATTACTTACAGAATTGGAGGCTGAGGCTCAAAAAGGCCAATAAGGCTGCCAAAGCCAGCAAGATCAGAAAACGATTTCGGAAAAGCATTATTAGTTGTTTTGCTTTCTCTTCATGATTTCATCTCCAGGCGTGAACACTTCCTGTGAATCAAACAGACAAGTATATATTTAACAAGTGGAAGCTTCTGCTACCCTGAAATAAATCAAAGTGTAATTTTGACAGGAGAGCAAGAGAGACATGAAGGTTATTTCTTGAATGCAAGTTTCAGAGGCAGAACCTTGATCACGACACAATGGTATGAACTTTTTTCCCTTGCTTCAGGCCAATGTGTCAAACTAAGCAAATTTCACAACACATTACTGTGTTATTGTGTTCCTCTGAAGTCTCTTACGATTATCACTACATGTGACCAAGAGCCAGAGCTGTGAGCCACATGTGGGGCTGACAAATCAAGCTGTCAAGCCCCAGAGTGGGAGGCAACATCTGCCCAGAACTGACAGCTAACAGGCAATGTAAGTAATGCACTCTCTACACAAACATGATGTCATCCTAACTACAGTGAACTAACTGATACACCTCTCACTAAGATGAAGTTATTAAGTTGGCATACTGGGAGACAAATTGGCAGAAGCAATATTGTAAGTAGACACAAAGTTAGGTCAACGTAAGCAGCCTTATGTGAGCCTAACTCTGTGCCCAAACCTTAGAAATACTCGGTTACAGAATTAGATATACTGCTGCAAAATTAAAGCATAGAGTATTACAGAGCAGGTGCTGTTTGGATGACATGTGGAGCATATTGATCTTTTATCTATTTACTTTACGGATGGCTCAGAGTGCAGGTCATGTCCTAGCCGTACTGTCTCCACCCGAAAGCTCTCAGTACCCAAAGGCCAATTTTATCATCAACAACTGACATAACACTGTCTCTGTTTGCTCATTACTCTCCAGGTTTTTACTCTTATTCTAAAAGGTGAATAAATACTGTACTGCTAGAAACACAGTCCACACTCAGCATTTGCAGCACTGGAATTCTTTCAGCAGGTTAATAAATGGGTATCAATCACAACATTTATTACACATAATTGTTGATACAGGTATTCACCGCAAGGTATAATGTTTGACTGGATAAAGAAATTGGAACCACAAACTTCATTAAGACATCATTAATTGTGAGACAAGCAAAACCAACCTAATGTTTAAAAAAGAGTAATGTAATAATACCTCTTTAACCATATGTAGCTAATAATTAAAAGAAAAGCTATTCAGACACCTAATACAGTATATGTACTTGCTGTAAGATTATTTGTTTTCCTCTATTTTAAATTGTGTCCAATATTTATTCTAATAAATCACAATGGAGGAAAATGACTGATCTACTCTAAAGTATCCCCTTTATTACCTACTCAAGCACAAATATATTAGTAATTTATTACTAATATAAACTTCACAACTTCCTGCATATTTACTCAAGGCCAAAAAAAATGGCAGTATTATTAAGGAGACATGATAGAGCAAGTCAGGAGACCTGGGATCCATACCTTCCTCTACCAGACTTCTGGGATTTTGGACAAGTTACAACTTCTTTCTGCCTCAGTTTTCTTAAATGCAGAAGTGGATATCTAACTGGCAGAAAAGTTGTAGGACTGAATTTAATGTATTAATGGTTGGAAATGTATCCTCAGACTTATGTAAGAAAGGTGTTTTTATTAATATTTCACAAAATGCACTGAAAATACATCAATAGCACCAAGGGATTCAAGAAATTAGACTTGTCCTTCTCCCCAAAATAATCATTGCCATTATATACAACTGTGCCACTTAACTAATAACATTACCTCTAAATAGCTGCATCCATCTAGGATGCAAACCTACCATCTTACTTAGCGTGGAAGCACATTATTTCACTGAATTACCATGACAGCTGAATGAATATACTCGATTAAAATAGCATGTCTCCTTAACAATCAATACTACTCTTCAAAGTCTGCTTCCATTCACTGTACTTATCTAGTATGGCAGATCCAGCAACATCACATCAAAATGACACACACTGCTGAGATACAACTGAATGACAGTGGTCATTATGAAATGAAGAAGGGAAACTGTCACAGCTGTAAAAAACAAAGCTTCCAAGTCTATAAGGCTATGTCTAGACTGCAAGCCTCTTTCGAAAGAGGCTTTTTCGAAAGATACTTTCGAAAAATCCTCTTTCGAAAAAGAGCATCAAGACTGCAAGCGGAACTTTCGAAAAAGCAAGCCGCTTTTTCAAAAGGCAGTCTGGATGCTCTCTTTTGAAAAACCCCTGTATGCATTCAAGAACGCCTTTTTTCGAAAGAGCACTTTCGAAAAAAGGCGTTCTTCCTCGTAAAATGAGGTTTACCACCATCGAAAGAAAAGCCGCGTTCTTTCGATTTAATTTCGAAAGAACGCAGCTGCAGTCTAGACGCAGATGAAGTTTTTTCGGAAAAAGGCTACTTTTTCCGAAAAAACCCCTGAGTCTGGACACAGCCTAACTGAACAACTGCTGAAGACAGACGCAACAAGAATACGGTGTTCTCCAGCTCTCCCTAGTCGCCAGACCAGTCTAGAAATTGAGGGGAGAGTGCCTGAAAGCAAAACAAAAAAAAACATATAGGTAGGTGCAGGGTGACATTCACAGCTTAATCTGGGGGAAGTTACTAAAGAATTTAGGCAGCCTGCTCACCAGTCCAATATCTACTACTGACAGTTCTATCTCTTTGAGAGGTTCCAATTGCTTTTGATCTGTCTTGTATCCTTTCATTGCACGGTAAGGATATTTTTTCCACTGTGCAAGAAAGCCTTGTTTTGAAGAGAACAAAGTGACAGCCATCAGACATGATTATGAAATTTTTTGGTCTATTTTTAGTTTACACATTCAGACTGGAATTGTCAGAAGTACTGTAATTCTGCAGGGTCTATTTTAAAGAAGGGAATGAACACCTAGGGAAAACTTTTTAAAGCAAAGATATAAAATTGCACCTAGTAAGTGACTCTCTATTCCAGAACACAGATACCTTATTATTGCTTCACAGGCCGGACCAAATTCAGAAAAATAGAATCATGTAAGCGATTCTATTACTAGGTGACAGCCCAGTTATCGTTTTGCACATTGCAACTATGAGGCAGAAAACATGCTTCTTCACTCTCTAAACTGGGACACTCTAGACCTGGCTCCACTCCTCCGCCTGGCCAGCGGATCGGATGGGGCCGTGCCACCCGTAGTGCAGGCTTTGGCCAGCCAGTCACAACCGCCCACCAGGCCAGTCCGCCCCTGGACTTGCCAGCTGATAAAATCTACTCGCCATGGACAAGCAGGCAAGTGCATTTGTCAAGCTCTGATTATCCTGTTTGTATGCATATATCATTTTTGTATCTGAAATTATGAATACTGACTACATTAATCTGTATTCCAAATGTACTTACTCTAGGTAACTCCCACAACAAATCTTTCGGGTACATCAATGAAGAAGCTAGACTGTGGAGATGGCCATCAGCAAAGACAATAGACCATGGAAGAGCTTGGTCTTCTGGTAAACACTTCAGACCTGACCATTCCCAAACCGGAGAAGGTCCATAATGGCCCCTCTGCTACTCCTGACTGCTTGGCTTTGCTTCAGCAGAAGCAGAGGGGCTAGCATAGACAGATTGGGGATGGGGCAGTGCTCAGGGGAAAAAGCATAGCAGCTGTGGAGCCATATAGCTGAGGGCCTTATCTCCATGCATGCTTCAGTCCCCATGCACCCACGGATGCTGCTGGACAAGGGAAGTCCAGATGAGAGAGGTTCAACCTGTATTAGGCTTAGTTTGAAGTTTTATTTTCTAGGTAATCTGCTTTCATCTGTTTGATATCACTTATAATCACGTAAACTCTATCTTTTCGTAGTTAATAAACTTGTTTTATGTTTTGATCTTAACCAATGGTTTTGGAGTGAAGTGTCTGAGAAAATACTAACTTGATAAACTGTTGCATATGTTCCCTGCATCAAGGGAGTGGTGAATCAAATGAGCTTTCATCATACAGATCCCTGTGCAAGACTAATTCTGGGTTTATACTCCAGTAGGGGTACAAAGCAGAGGAGCAGGGGAATTGGCTAGTGTTCCATTGTAAATCTATGAGGTGCATAGGTAAAGCATTCAGATAACTCGTTCAGGTGTGTGGAGCCACCTGCTGTCATGCTGGGTGATAACAGGCCCTGGAAAGACTAGCTGGGCAACACCAGCGTGGGAAAAGCCAAAGCTTAAAGGGCACAGCGGCTCCAAAGGCTTCCAGACTGCACCTCAGGGGTGACAACCCATCACACTGATTACCAAGCAATATTCCTTTGAATCATTAATACCCGTTAGTCCGTTGTGCACTCAGATCTCAGCAGAGACCATCAGCAGGCACCACCTCTTAGGAATAAAATTAAGGTAATGGGAGGATTGATAAAGCAAGTAGAATAAGGCATGTTGGTAGGTGGAGCAGCCCAAAAACAGGTGGCTGATCTTCTTTACCCTTTGACTTTGTCAAAGCATATATTCCTACAGAGCTTGGGGAATAACAGCTGGAAATGACCAGATTCACCATTGCTGCAATGCTCAAGTCAGGCAACAGAGAAAGAAATAGTGACACTGAGCAGAAGTGATTCAGAAGACACCCAAGGTGCTGACATCTCTGACTGGTCACTGCTGCACATAATTAATAAATGCTAAGTAACTTCCTCACTGCACATCAACCACAGCTGGTGTCCTTGCATTATTTCACTGGAAGTTCAGCATTTTAAAGTGGATACACTGTTCCTGGGGCATCAGGCAATACTGAGGTGCTCTGTGACTGACATTCCAGGAATACCACAGGAACAAAGCAATTAGCCTTAATATTGTTAATTTCAACAATGACTGGTCCTTATCCTCAGGCATAAGATTATACAATCAGCCTCATATCCCTTCACTGTCTCTCAAACCAGGCAAAGCATTTCACTTGAAATAAAATAGTTCTCCATTTACAACTGGCTGTTCCACTTTAAGACATGTTATTTTTCTCATGTAAGCGTACAAGCTGCTCACCATCATATAAAATTACT